TTTTTTTTTTTTGGTTTTTCTCCGGTACCAGGAACCGAACTCATGACCTTGCGCTTGCCAGGCAGGCGTTTTTGCCGCTGAGCTAAATCCCCAGCCCCCTCCAACATTTTCTTTTGGACCATTTGTCGAAGATCAAATAGTTGAGTGTGTCTGCTCTTATTCCCCAAAATTACTTTTGCTATTCTGGGTCTCTGCTGAGTCCATATAAATTTTAGGATTGTTTTCTCTAGATCTGTAAACTATGCTGTTGGTATTTTGATTGGGACTTCATTGAATCTGTGTAACAGTTTTAGAAATAGGGCCATTTTGACAATATTGGTTCTGCCTATCAGAGAGCAAGGGACATCTTTCCATTTTCTGATGTCCTCTTCAGTCTCCTCCGTCAGAGTACTGTAGTTTGCTTTGTAGAGGTTTTTCACTTCCTTGACTAGGTTAATTCCTAGATATTACATTTTTCTTGAAGCACCTATAAATGTTACTATTTTTATAATTTCCTTCATATTTCTTTCATTATTGGAATACACAGATGCTAATTTTTATGTGTGACTCTTAACATCTTGCTACTTTGCTGAAGTTGATTATTCTAAGAGTTTTATGGTGGAGTTCTTTGGGTCTTCTATGTAGAGTATTCTGTCATCTGCAAATAATGATAATTTGAGTTCTTACATTCTTATATGTATCCTTTTTTTTTTTTTTTTTGTACCATGAGTTGAACTTGGGACCTTGCACTTGCCAGGCAGGCGTTGTGCTACTGAGCTGTATCTCTGGCCCTATGTATCCCTTTTATTTCTTTGTCTTGCTTAATTTTTCTGGCTAATGTTTCAAGTACTCTGCTTAGTAGAAGAGATAATAGTGGGGACATCCTTGTATTTTAAACTTTTCTTATATTTGGGAAATTTTCTTCCATATTTTCTGTAAGCATGTTAATGAATATATCTGTGCTATCTTCTAGATTTTTTTTCTAACTCTAATTAGCATTAGCCTGGTCTTGTTGTCCTCTAGTAGCTTCTGGATAGTCTTCTTTTGTTCTCTTACTTTCTTTTTGGCTTCTTTGAGCTCTTTATCATAATGCAGTATATCAGACCTTCTGTCTTTACATTGGTCATTTCTGCAATATATGAATTTTGTACTTTTTTTTATTTCAGGTATTTTTCATCTTTCATCTTTTTGAGTATTTCATATCCTTGTTGAACCTGTCGTTCATATTTGGAACTGTTTTAGTTAGCTTGTCCAATTTTTTACCTATTTCTCAAAAATTCTCAATGAGGAGGCATATTGAGTATAATTGCTGTAAACTTTTGGTTCATTTCCTCTTTACACCCATCTATTTTCTTTATCTCTTCTATGAACTTTTCGTGGATTTTTGCTACCTGGTATTTGTTTTCTTCTCCTTTTGTGACCCCTTGCTCTGCCTAGGGGAAGTTGGGAGGGTTGGGACATCTTCTGTTTCCTTGTTTCCCCATTCTCCTACTTGTACCTGTGCTTATTTGTATGTATGTGTATTACATATATTTATATATAATATATACATATACTTTTATGTATCTTTTTAAAATTATATGTGGCCCCCTTTTTTCTCACTTTTTTTTGGCGGGGGGGTGGTTTCCTGCATGTTAGGGACTAGAGAAGTGAGGAGAGTTTGTGGCTTATTTGGAGCTTTTTAGTAGGATGTTGCCTCCCCGTGAATAATTTTCCAATATATCCAGTGCTAGTCTTTACTCCTTCTGTTATTTAAATGATTTGAATTCTGTGCCTGTGTTTGGCCCAAAGAATTGATTCTATTTATAACAGCATCCACAGATGCAATCCTCCAACACTTCTGTATGATGGTCCTTGCAGTTACTATCCCCCCATTGTCTAGTCTCCATGCATACTGTGACTGGTTATTACTTGTGGTTGCTCTGCAGTGGTGTCGGTGAGGTGCTGTGAGGAGAAGTGGATGGTGTTTGGATGAGTAGTGTTAGACACTAAGGGTGAGGTGTGAAGGGAAGACTAGTGGTAGATGAGAAGAAGAGATTGATACAGGTTCTGATTTTATTGGAGTTCTTTTAGTTGAGTTGAAAGTTTAGTACCAAGAGTTTTCAAAGGATATTTTGTGGGGGCAAGGGTAAGATATGGGGTGAAGGGGATTCACTTGTGATTGAGAAAAGCTATGTGGCTATCAGAACTTGCTTATAGGTAGGACAATAAGCTAGGTAAGATACAGAAGAGCTGGGCTAGGGATATAGCTCAGTGGCACAAGTGCCTGCTTGGCAAACACAAGACCATGAGTTCAATTCCTGGTACCCCAAAAAAAGGAAGATCCAAAGGCTTAGGAAGGGGAGGATCAAGGAATTATACTAGTGAAGATAGGAATGACTGAGAGGGGGCTAAGTATGCTAAATCTAAAAATTTGGGAAGTGGAGTTTACGTGTTTGGAAAAAGAATAGAGAGTTTTATACTGTGTCTACCTATTTACTGTATCTGGCACTGTGCAACTTCTGGCTCTTCTCCAAACTCAAAATGACTGAACAATTTACATTTTTAATTGATTGAGGACATCAAGGCAGCAATGACTATACAACTAAAGACATGAAAAAAACTTCCAAAATTGCATCAGGAAGTGGCCAGAATGATGGGATAAGTGTATTTGAAGAGTGGAAGAGTATTTTGAGAAGGATTGATGGCAGTGTCTTTCATATAATAATTTTTTTAAAATTTAAGCATGTGCATTTTGCGCACATCTCACTTGTTTTTGAAGTGGGATATCGTGGAAATCTATTATAGTAGACAAAAGCATCTGAAATCAGACTGATTTGAATCCTTGGTCCGCACATCACAATGTGACCTCACCTATAAAAATGGAAATAATAATACCTTAAGACTTGGAGAGCCCTTAGAACACTGAGCCACACCTAACTGAGGACAACTACTGAGTTTATTTGTAATCTTTACAGGATAATCACTTGGTTTTCATACTTTGCCTCTGGAAAGTAGATGAAACTGCACATTGAGAGTCTATGCTTCCTTGATGAGGTTTTGTGTTTTCTTTCATTTCAGGATGGCAGTGGCACGGAGAACTATGTTCCAGAAGGGAGAGGTGCATAACAAGCCATCAGGGTTCTGGGGAATGATAAAGAGTGTTACTACTTCAGCTCCAGGAAGTGAAAGTATCCTTTATCATTCTGTTTGATTCCTTCTATACTCTGGACCAAGGGCAGGACAGATAGTCTTGGGATAGTCCCTTCTATGGTATCTGATTGCGTCAGAGTCCAAACTGGTCAGTGATAGGCTTAGGAAGTATAATGTATATTAAGTCATCTTTCCAATATCCGGGAAAGATCAGAAAGTCATTTTCTTTGAGCTAAAGAGGTCCTGAAATACAGTATTGTTTTTAAAATGTCAGTATTTCCAGATGAGAAAAATCACCCAGAGGGTTAAGCCCCACCGTGGTTTGTAGCAACTCTGAGAACAGAACTGTGGCCTCCTCTTCGTAGTTCTTCTCACTACACTATTATATTTCCAAACCCTGAAGAAACACCACTAAACATAATGGCTCACTAAAATGGGTGGTTTGTATATGGGATGGTCAGTGCCTACTTTTTAAAGTAAGTGTGTTCCTAAGTATTTCTGCTTCTCCAGTTATTTTTGGCTCAAAAGTCAAGATGATTGGGTTAATAGATTGTTCCTGGCCTGGCTAGTTGAGGGTATTGAACTAATTCCCAAATTGAGTAACCAGATCTCTACTTGGCTCCCAAGCTGTGAGGTTAAAACTATCAGGGACTAAGAGTCAGACACATACTCACTTTCGTCTCTGGGAAGAAATACGTGGGGAAATACACAGTCCCTTTTGTTTGAATTGGAGGAGGAGAATATAATGTATTGGTGTGAATTATGCCTTACGTCCTTCTGGTATCAAGACCAAAGAAAGGCAAGACAGTTATGACAGAAAAAAAGGGAATGTTTTAATCCAGAAACATTTACTTCATGTCTCCTATTCGCAGGCGAAGTGCTGAGTGATAGAATGGTTAGTAGAGTGCTGTCTAATCTCTCCTTAAGCACTTTACCATCTAATCACAGGAGAGACAAATGTAACTAGTTCAGTCCTGCTCTTTGGTGCTCTGGATGTTGCCAGGAACAGCCACTGTTGAGGAAGGAACTAAGGGTACTCGCTGATTTTGGTAATAATAGGAAACGTCACAGAGGAGGATGATTTGGATTAAAGTCAATGATTCTATTTTAGAAGAGGGTATCTTCACTTTTTATTACTTAACAATCCATAAAAACCAAATGTGTACATTTAAGCTACTTTAATAAGTCAGTAATTGCACCAGATGACTTAACCTGAGTCTATTTGCTAAATGAGGAGACTAGTACTACTTACTGAGTTCTTGGGAAACAGCCTGTCTTAGTGGGAAGAATAGGCCTTGGAGTAAGGCCGATCTCACTTTGTATCCACACCTGTAGTTGTGTGACTTTAAGTCATTTAACTCTCTGAACTTCACTTTCCTTACCTGCAAAATAGGTAACACCTATCTCATAGGATTGTTGAGAGAATAAAAGAAGAGAATATCTATAAAAACTAAAGAAGGTAACGTGTGTAACCCCAGCCTGCTTTAACAGTCAAGATTGGTCCCCTTTCCAGACATTGCATTTCTTCAGATAATGTGGGAGGAAATTACTCTTTATTATAAAGGTTATGCTGTTGCATGTGACTTAGGAGATAAATAAGTGAAAGCCAAATAGAAAGCCATCTGGGTAGAGTGGGAGAAGCTGAGTGGCAGATCGTTGTGATGATGCTTTCAGTAGAGCAGCTTTCGCTCACCTGTGTCAGGCTGGGGAAGTGTTTGATGTGAAGTAGCACTACTGGATCCAAAACTGGACACGCAAACCCAGGCACTTCCTAGGTTCTGCTGCAGAAAAATGCAAAAGCAAATGCTTTCTTTATTACTATTTTTTGAAACTTCTTTGTGATTTAAGCCTTGATGTACCTTTTGTGCCAGATCTTACTCTTATTCAACAGGAAGTGGATGCTTTGGAAGAACTAAGCAGGCAGCTTTTTCTGGAAACGGTTGATCTATATGCCACCAAGGTACAGAGCAAGGAAACTAAACTATGATTTCTTACCAATATGACTGAAGAGAGCTTTTTAGTACTGATAATCAGGCAATACAAGAGACATCTCACAACTTCTTTATAAGGCAGGAACCATTTGGGAATGAGGAGTTACTCTCCTTGAGTTTGTTTCTTTCACTGGCAAAATCCTTAAAGGAACACTGTCTATAATAGAAATTGGAGGGATAGTCAGAGAATTTGCAACATCTGTGGAAGGTGGTACCACTTCCTACTGACGGAAGGTAAAGGTAGTAGCTCCTTTGCTTCTTTTTATTCTCTCACAAATTAGTGTTACAAGAACAGTAATATTACTGTCATGGTTTGGCCCTACTTTAAAGAATCCTGATCAAGAAGTATCCTAAATTTCCTGTATGCACCTGAAATATAATGTAAGTCTGCAAAATCTATTAAGATTGCAAACTTTAATCCTTTTTGAAGGTAGCTTCATAAAAGTAACTATTTAGGGTAGAAGTTAACTAATGTAGGCTTTGGAGACAGACCTGAGCCTACTTACCAGTACACACCCTGGGCAAGTTTACTGACCTCTTTAAGATTCAGTTTTTTCATCTGTAAAATTAAGGTATTAGAATATATTTCATAAGAGTTTTTATGAAGTTTAAGTAGTTAATGCCTATAAGATATTTGTTCCAGTCTTGGACTTAAAGTAAACAGTCAATAAATGTTGGCTGTTGCTGTTACTGTTTTAATATTATAACCAGCAGTAATTCATAGAAAGAACTCCTGTTGCAAATAAATTTACATGAGACTAACTATAGTGTGTTTGTTTTTCCTCAGGAGAGAATAGAATATTCCAAAACATTCAAAGGAAAATATTTTAATTTTCTGGGTTACTTTTTCTCTATTTACTGTGTTTGGAAAATTTTCATGGTAAGTATATTTTGTCAAGAATTCAGTGATTTTCCCTGGGGATGACAGCGAGGTGCAACAAGTTTGCCACATTGAGCTCAGTTTCAAATTAACAGACCCTTTCACATCTCTGAGCTCGCTCTTTTCTTCCTTCTCCTTTTTAAAGGATCTAGAAAAGGAGGTTGCTTTTTTTTCCAGTCGGGCATCATTTATAAGGCCTTGGGTCATGAAACTTAAATTGATTTAAGTGTTTCTTGGTTTGCTGTTGCTTCCATATTGCCCGCGAGTACATGACTATGTGTAATCTCAATTTCTACTTGCAGCTCAGAGTAGAGATCAAATATCCTTTTTAATAATGGATGCCTAAAAACTGAGTCCAAAGTAAATTCAAATGTATTTCTGCAAATACACATATCGTGTGGTTTTATTGCTCTTGTTCTTTTGTGGTTGTCCTTAATGTTTTAATTCTTTGTGTGCATTTTATGTGTGTTGGTCTTCACTTTCGGTCTTCACTTTGCTTGTATTCCTAGATTTCAGTATGATGTAGTAAAGGCTGATTTGACTTTCTGGCTTGGTGACTTTACTACTAGAGATGTGTTTGCACAAAGAAGAGCTTTATCAGCTTGTTAGTTAATTTTGATAAATACAGATTAATGGAATGGCTTTTCTTTTTTTACTTTCTTTTATTTTTTTATTAGTGTGTAGTTTATCAGAGACTCCTGCAGTGGTTTCCAGTCTCCTGCCTGGAGTTACAGCATAGGGCAGGAAGAAAGCAAGAGACAGTAGAGGTGCAGGCAGAGATCTGAGCTGCCCGGTTGTTCCCAGGGAACCAACAGTACAAAATGCCCAGAACCTTGGTGTTTATTCATTACATCTGACTCAAGGACAGTGGGTGAAGGGCAGTGGGTGTTTCTGGGAACAGTACTAGTGACTGTAGTGGGCTAGTAAGAGCAAAACATTCTTGCAAGAATGAGATGGGGGGCAATGTGGAAACTAGTTTCTCTGGATGCCTTATCATCTCCAGCAGATCGTATCTTGCCCTGTGAGCAAGGGCTTCCAGCTGTGACCAGAAAAGAGCAGAGTTTCCGCATTTTGGTCTGGCTCAAGAGAAGGACAAGAATAAGCTTTAGACATCCCCTAGACACAGTTTTTAATTCATGTCCCCAACATGTTTACAGAACATATCGTTTACATTCCTGATAGGGAGTTGGGACATGTACGTAATACATTTCCCTTCCCTCCCTCCTCCTTCCACTCATCTCTTGATCCCATTCCTTTTTTTTTAATAAATCTAATGTTATAGTAAATGGAAATCAATACCACTCAGATGATTTTTTAAAATCTTGATTCATTAAGTAAGGAAGGTGAATGGAGATAAAGGTTTTTTTCCTGAAATGCAGCCCTAAGAGGAGCATATCTGTTAACACCTTTATTATAATATAATGGACATATTTAAAGTGTATAATTTAGTAAGTTTTGATATGTGTAGATACCTGTGCAGCAACCAATACCATAATTCAGATAAAGAACATACTTATCCGTCATTTTCAGAACTCTTGTTGCCTCTTTATAGGGCCTCTCTGTCACACCCAGGCACACCTGATCAGCTGTCATTAGATATTAATTAATATTTCATATAAGTGTATCCTTTTTCTGTCTGGCTCATTTTACCCAGCATGATTTTTGAGGTTTCATCAATGTTATTGTGTGTGTCAGTAATTTGTTCCTTTTATTGCTGAGTTGTATTTCATTGTATGCTTGCCATTTACCTGATGGTAAGTATTTGGTTGTTTCTTGTTTGGGGATATTACAAGTAAAGCTGCCGTGAACATTTTTGTGTAAGTGGATGTCTACCTGTAAGCTCTTTTTCCTTGGATAAGCACTTCAGAGTGGAGCATCTGATTCATAAGGCAGAAGTCTTAACTTTTGAAGAAAAAGCCAAATTCTTTTCCAAAGAAGGTGTACATTTGCATTCCTACTAGCAGTGTATAGGACTTGCAGTTGTTCTACACCTTCATCAACACTCACATGGTCAGTCTTATTAATTGTAGACATTCTGGTAGATTTGAGATATTGAATCTTCTAAATACCTGGTAGGGCAATTTACAGTTTCCCAATGCGTAAAGACATTTAGCTTCCTTTCCTGTGCTCATTTTTGAGCCATGTCCACTTTGGTAAAGTCTCTATTCAACTCTTCCCCCCCCCCCAGGTTATTTTCTTTTGATTGGGTTTTTAAATTTTTTAATATTCTGGAAATCCTTTATCAAATATGTGATTTTTAAATATTTTGGTTCTAATCAGTAGATTTGACTTCTCATTCTGTTAGCAGTTTTTTTGTTTTGTTTTTCCTATTATGGATTGTGTTTGTGGTTTAAAATCTAAGCAGTCTTTGCCTAACCAAGGATTACAAAGCTTTTTTATGTTCTTTATAGAAATTTTATGATTTTAACATTCTAGTCTATGATCATGAGTTAATTTTTAATATGATGTTCATTATTTGTGTATAGATATCCAGTTCTAGAACTATTTGTTGTAAAGATTATTCTTTCTACATTAAGTTGCCTCTGAAGTGTAGGTCTGTATATTTATTCTTTATTCATTCCTGTTGATACAGTGTTTGCCTTTATTTATATTAGTACCGTACTGTCTTAATCATTGTTTTATAATATGCTGAAATCATATGCTGTAAATTCTCCTGTTTTTCTTTAAAATTTTTTGTTAGTTTATGTCCTTTATATTTCCATATGAAATTTATAATCAGCTTACTGGTTCCTACAAAAAACACCTCTTGGAACTTGTATTACCATTACATTGACTCTATAGATCAATTTAAAGGATGTAATATCTTAACAATATTGAGTCTTCTAATCTGTGAACATGCTATAAACCTTCATGTATTTTGATCTTTTATAGTTTCCTTCAGCAATGTTTTATAGTTTTTAATGTACAAGTCTTTTACAGCTTTTGTCAGATTTATATCTAAATACTTTATATTTTGATACTTTCCTAAATCTTACTGTTTTTATAATTTCAATTTGACTGTTGTTAGTATGTACATATATATATGATTAATTCTTGTATATTGATCTTATATCCTGCAATTTGCTTGCCTTTTTTCTTTCTAGAAGGTCTTTTTGAAGCCGGGCGTGGTGGCACACGCCTGTAATCTCAGCGCTCGGAGACTGAGGCAGGAGGATCGTTGCAAATTCGAGGCCGGGCTGGGGTACAAAGTGAGCTCAAAGCCAGCCTGAACTGCATAGCAAGACCCTGTCTCAAAAAAAAAAAAAAGTAGAAAAAAAAGAAGGTCTTTTATATGATTCATAGGATTGTCCACATAGATAATCAGGTGTCTGGAATTAAGGACAATTTGCTTCTTGCTGGGCAATGTGGATACCTTTTCTTTCTTTTACTTCTCCTGCTTCCCTCCCTTTTATTCCCCTTCCCTCTCACTTTCTCTTCTTTCCTTCCCTGCCTTCTTTTCTTCTTTTTCTCCTCCTCTTTTAGCCTTATTGCATTGTGCAAAGTTGAACAGAAGTAGTAAGAGAAGTTGCCATAGGCTTTTTCCTGGTCTTAGGGAGAAAGCATCCAGTCTTTGATGCCCTGTATCATAGGAAATTCTTTCTATTCATAGTTTATTTAGTGTTATTAACCGTGAAATGGTGTTAGATTTTTGTATGCTTTTCTACATCTATTAAAGTGGTCATGTGGTTTTCTTTTTTAGTCTGTCATTATAGCGAATTAAATTCATTAGTTGTTTTGTTTGTTTTTTGTACTGGAGATTGAACCACGATCTTCACGCTGAGCTACATCCGCAGCCCTTTCTTTGTATTTTAAAACAGTGTCTCACAATAATATGCTCAGTTGCCCATGCAGTGCTTCAATTTGCAATCCTACTGCCTCAGCCTCCCAGAATGCTGGAATTACAGCTGTGTTTCACCATGCCTGGTGACTTTTTTTAATGTTATGTTTTTGTTTAGTTTTAATGTCAAAGTAATGCTGACTTTAGAGAAAAAGTTGAAAACTACTGCCTCTTCTTCGAATTAGTGGAAAAGTTTGTATGGAATTTTATTATTTAAGTGCTTGATAGAATTTACCAGTGAAGTCTTTTGGGTATGATGTTTTCCTGGCAGAAAGATTTCTAACTATCAGTTAATTTCTTTAAAAATGCAAATTTATTGGGTTTATCTGTTACAGCTTCTTGAGTGACACCTTGTAGTTTGTGTCTTTCAAGGAATTTGTCCATTGTTAAAGTTTTCAAATTTATTGGGATATAATTGCTCATAATATGCTCATCCTTTCAGTACCTGTAGAATCTGTTGAGCTGTCATTAATCTTGTTCCTTTTTTATGTAACAAGACATAATTCACTATAATTTACCCATTTAGCATACAATTCAGTAGTTCTTAGTATGTTCACAGAGTTGTACATCACTGCAGTAACCTGTGAACATTATTATCAAACGGAAAATGGGGCTGGGAATATAGCTCAGTGGCATAAATGCCTGCATGGCAAACACAAGGTCCTGAGTTCGATTCCCAGTACCAAAAAAAAAATGAAAAAGCAATCCCATACTCATTACCAGTCACTCTCCTAGCCGTAGACAACTAATGTACTTTCTGTTGCTAGGTTTTCCTATACTAGAAATTTCAGATAAATTGAATAAAGACAATTTATGATCTTTTGTGATTGGTTTCTTTGACTTAGCTTAAGGCTCATGCCTGCTATAGCATCTGCATTCCTTTTTATGGCTGAATACTGTTCCTTTTTATGGCTAAATAGTACTCATCCCATTGTATGGATAATACATTTTGCTTATCCATTTAGTAATTGGTGAACACTTAGGGCGTTTCCACTTTTTGCCAGTATCAATAATGCTATTGTGAATATTTGTATAAAAGTTTTTCAGTGGGCATCTTTTCATGTCTCATATAATGGCTAGTAATAGAATTTCTCTATCATATGCTAACTGTATATTTAACTTTTTGAAGACCTGCCATACTGTTTTTTAAAATGATGTCACCAATTTACATTCCTGCTGGCAATATATAAAGGCTCCAATTTCTTCATATCCTCACCAGCGCTTGTTATTATCTGTCTTTTTTATTATAGTCATCCTAGTGGGTATAAAATGGTATCTTGTGGTATTGACAACTTGTCTTTCATCTTTTTTCTTCATCATGATAGTAGCAGTTTATTGATTTTATTGAACTTTTCAGAGTCAGTTTTGGGGTAATGGATTTTCTGTATTATTTTTCTGCTTTCTATTTCATTGATTTCTGCTCTGCTCTTTATTAACTTTCTTCTACTTATTTGGGTCATATTTCTACCCTGTGTCTTAAGGTAGAAACTAAGATCATTGGTTGGAGACCTTTTCTGATAAAGTGATTTATTATTATATTTCTTGCTATGTACTATTTTAACTGCATCTTTTAATGCATAAGGTATTTTTATTTTCATTCAGTAAAAATGCTTTCTAGTTGGACCTGGTGTGCACACCTGTAATCCCAGCATTTGGGGGAGCTAAGACAGGAAAACATCCATCCTTGGTAACTTAGCAACTTAACAAGATCTTAGTTCAAAATAAATTTTAAAAAGTGATGGGGATGTATCGTAGTGTGAAAGCCATGGGTTCAGTCCTCAATACCACACACAAAAACTTTATTTCCCTTTTGATTTCTTCTCTGACTCAGGTCATTTAGAAGTGTGTTCTAAAATATCGGGGAGAACCTTGCAGATAACATTCTCTGATAGATTTCTAACCTAGTTTTATGTGATCTAAGAACATACTTCATATGATTTGAATCTTTTAAGATTTATCAATACTTGTGTTTTGTGCCAGAATATTGTCAACTAGACTCAGCATGGTAAATGTTCTGTGTGCATTTGAGTAAAATGTGTATGCTGCTGTTGTTGGCTAGAACATTCTGTAATGTAAGTGTCAGTTAGGTCAAGTTGATTGATGATATTATTGAAATTGTCAGTATCTTTACTGATTGTCTGTTTCATCAGTTATTGCAAGAACAGACCCAGCTATTTGGGTTTGGCTATTTTTCTTTCTGTTGGTCTTTATTTCATATATTTTGAAGCTTTATTATTGGGTATATAAACATTTAGGATCAGTATGTAACCTTTTTTTAAGTGATTTTTTTATCATTATGAAATGACCCTCTAACACCTAGCAGTATTTTTTCCTATGAAATCTACTTTATCTGATGCTAATGTAGACAGTCCACCTTTGTTTTTTATTAGTATTAGCATAAATATATCTTTTTTTCATCCTTTTACTTTTAACTTTCACATCTGAAGTGAGTTTCTTATAAGCAACATATACAGAAGTTAGGTCTTACTTTTTATCCAGTCTTGATAGTGTCAGCCATTTCACTGGCATGTTTAGGCCAAGGATTAGCAATCCATATTCCACAGACAAAATTTACTTATTTTTATAAATAAAGTTTTATTGGAACATAGCCAAGCCCATTCATGTATGTATTGTCTGTGACTGCTGTCACACTACAGTGGCTGAGTTTGCTGAGCTGTGATTACTGTTTACATTTAATGTGATTATTGAAATGGTTAGATTTAAAACTACCTTGATACTGTTTGTTTTTCATTTGTTCTTTTTTTTCCTTTTTTTAAATGTCACTTTTGGGATCATTTAGGTATTTTTCAGTATTCAGTTTCCTTTGTTAAGTAAACAGGATAAAAGAGAGCCAACAATAGGAAAATAACATGACAAAGAGAAATCAATACATATCAGTTATAACCATCAATGTTAATGGTCTCAATTCACCAAGCAAAAGAAACAGACTGGCAGAATGGATCAGAAAGCAAGACCCAACAATATACTGCATACTAGAAACACATTTAATTCAAAGAAGAAATTCATAGACTGAAAGTCAAAGGATAGAAAACAATACTCCATGTGACAGGAACCCAGATTTCCTTTGTTGGCTTACTAGCTATACCTTCTTTCTTCTTGGCTCTGAGGGCATTCAGAAAATAACCATAGCGGGGGCTGGGGATTTGCCTGGCAAGTGCAAGGTTGTGAGTTCAATTCCCGGTACCAGGAAAAAAATAGTAATAATAACCATAGGGAATGACTTTGGAATTTCTTGACCCTCTTGCTCAGATTTCATGAACCTTTCTGGCTCTGATAAACTGAGGTTTATATGCCATAGCTTTATTCCCCTTGATGGAATGGATAGAGACCTTCACTTGCCTAAACAGACTTCCTATGTATGGTTTAGATTGAGTAGAACTGCATTTTTCAAAACATTAATCTCTAAAATACAGCGATTAATTCATTTTGACTCACGTCTTGAAATAGTAATTAAGATGCAGGTCTGTGTCTCTGCAGGCAACCATCAATATTGTTTTTGATCGAGTTGGGAAAACTGATCCTGTCACAAGAGGCATTGAGATCACTGTGAATTACCTAGGAATACAGTTTGATGTAAGAGTTTTGTTAAGATCTTGGTTTATTATGGTTTTTTATTTATCTGCTGTAACTTTACATTGTTAAGACTCTACTTCCCATACTTTAAGTACTTCTGTGTCTGTTCTTCCCATAGTCCTCTGTATAAGTTGACTTTTTCAAGTGGCACATTTGTAATAGACCAAGTTTCTCATTCTTAACATAAATGCGTAAGTAATGACTAGTACTTTATTGTCATAGTTGCTGCTTATTTCTACAATTCTTCCTTTGCTTCTCTGTAGCCAGCTACTATTCTGCCAATTTCTCTTGCACCAAGTATTCGGATCCTTCTCTCTGTGCTCTTTAATGCGCTCTGCAGGCACATAACATCTTTGATTCCCCTGGTGGAAAATTAACTACTAATTACTGTTGCATGTTAGACCTGAAATAATTTCAGCTATTGAAAAAGACCTTTAGCAATTAATGTGGACCTTAGACTAAAGATATAACTGTCAACTATGTACAAAGTTGGATTTTTTTTAAATCATTTTATCTACCTGTTTGATAAAACCACTGTCATAAACACACCCTTGCCCCAATTTAGGTTCAGTGCCCTTATTCATAGAATAATATATTTTATTGATACATGTATGGACAATGATTTGGGCTGATTAACACTTTAATAATAAGACTGGTGTCAGCTAGGCATGGTGGTACACACCTGTAATCCCTCCACTCTGAGAGGCTAAGGCAGGAGGGTTGCAAGTTCCATCCCAGCCTGGGCAGCTTAACAAAACTCTGCCTCAAAATAAAAAAATCTAAAAAAGGTCTGGGGATGTAGCTCAGTGTTAGGGCTCTGGGGTCAATCCCCAGTACCCCGGTACAGAAAAAAAAAAAAAAAAAGACTGATGCCACATTCTTAGTCCCATTGTGGACCATTTAACTGGGCTGTGATTGTTGACACAGACTGCCTGCCACTTCCAGTGTTCCATCCCAGCAGAACATGACTCTGATCCCAAGGATAGCTGAATAAAAGGAGAATAAACCAGAGCAAAATGAGCTCCAGTCCTTAAGAAACGGTTCAGAGTACACATTTCTTGACAGATTGTGTCTCCTTTCTGCAAGTGAAGGTGCATGATTCCTTTTCCAACGTGGTATAAAAATTAAGTGTGCTTTGCTATTGTTGGCCTATGTCATTTACTCAATTAAATTTTTACTGGGCTAAATTTTTAGAAATGCTTTCCTTATCAGTGCTTCCAGAAATTGCTTACTTGCTACATATATAGACCATCTGTAATTCACCTGTGTCCTCCATATTTCATAATTCCAAATAGCAAGCCTTTCAGATGTTAGTAATAGCAGGTTTTCCTCAGATACTTTCCAGAACTGAATCTCAAAATTGCTTCTCACTGTCAAGCAATGCAGGATATTATGTGATTCAGGTGAAGTTGCATGTCCTAGAATATAGCTGAGGTCTGTTCTTTTTATAAAAAGAAAGATTCCTTGAAGTTTTGTGTGATCATAGAATTATCATTCATAGATATTAAAAATAACCAAGGTACAGTTAAGTTTGAAATTTGTCTCCTCATTCTTTCTCTTGATTTATCACAATAAACTGTGTCACTAGCTTGGTTTTATTAGTGTTTTTACTCACTTCTCTATACTTGCTTTCTTCTGTCTTTAAGATTTGATTCATTAAAAAAAAAAAGATTTGATTCATTAACTAATTCAGATATCTACTGTAGTCTTCCCACAGGTGTTTCACTTACCACTTACTTGCTTTCTTTCATCCCTTAAACAGGTAGGGCCTATTAAGTTCTACCTCACGGTCACAGAAGTGATTGCAGTACTTAGACATCACATCTTTCTGAAGAGAGACTTAACAGATATTTCCTCTTTCTGTTACGGTGACAGGTGAAGTTCTGGTCCCAACACATTTCCTTCATTCTAGTTGGAATAATCATTGTCACATCCATCAGAGGATTGCTAATCACTCTTACCAAGGTACGTTGTATTGCAATGTTAGAAAGTACTTATGTATTTAATTATATATGGTACCATGAAATGATGTTACTGAATCAGGACCTCTGCCCTCTGAGATCACAAGTTTTTAAAGACATACAACAGAATAAAAATGTTAAACTGCTGCATAAATCTATGACAGTGTATGACATCACACCCCAATCACAGATAAGGTCTAGAGGTAGTAAGGGTCTGTTTTGTTCACGGCTGTTTCATCATCATCTGTAATACAGTTTGGCACATGGTAGGCACTGAGCAGACTTTTGAGTTTAGAAAAATAATTATGAGTCATTTGTAAAGATGCAGAAGCAGGGAAACAAAATATTCAGCTGTTTTCTGATCAACATAGGAAGGGTTCATAGAGAGGGAAAGGGAGTCCTCTCTGGTAGAAAAGAGAGAGATTTCTAGATCTGAAAGCCATTTGAAAGAAGAGAAAGTTAAGACAGAAGGAGATCTCCAATCATCTAGCACAATTTTGAGAAGAGCTCAGTAGCCCATTAACAATCTTGGAGTGGCTTGAAGTTACCTGTTTTAATGGTGATGTTAAGGTCACATGCATCAGAGTTTCTGAAGTTTGATAGGGTAAGAATCCTTTCATACGTTCTAATGTAAAACCTAACCCCGCCAACGGCCTTGAGGGGAAAACTGTAACTTTAGTCTGTTCAAGTCTCTCCTTTGTAGCCTTAATCATCTGAATTGTTCTATACACAATTGTAGCGTAGAAGAGACACTTTTAATTAAAGGTTAACCATGTTACTTATTCACAACACAAGAATCTAGCAGTAGTGCTTTAAATCATCTTTCCTCCCTTTCTTAACAGTTCTTTTATGCCATCTCAAGCAGTAAGTCCTCCAATGTCATTGTCCTGCTTTTAGCACAGATAATGGTAAGTTTAATAAACTAGCTTTATGTTTATAGCTATAAAATACTAGAAATGTGTTTTAAGTAATTAACAATTTCTTCTCTCTTGCCTGTTACTGCATTCAGAGTAACTTGTGGATTATTGGTTTGATTTACAGGGCATGTACTTCGTCTCCTCTGTACTGCTCATCCGAATGAGTATGCCACTAGAGTACCGCACCATAATCACAGAAGTCCTTGGAGAACTGCAATTTAACTTCTATCACCGTTGGTTTGATGTCATCTTCCTGGTCAGCGCCCTTTCCAGCATATTATTCCTCTATTTGGCCCACAAACAGGCACCAGAGAAGCATATGGCACCTTGAACTCAAGCTTATTACAGACTGTCAGAAACCAACAGCATCAGAATTTGAATCTGAGGAAAAGCCATGGAGGGGACCAGGGCCAAATGTTTTTCAACAAAATGCTGTGGTTCTACCTCATGTTCTAACTTCAGCATATACCTTTCTCCTCAGATGATAGTGTGGTCATAAGTAGCATCAGCTGGAACATGAGCAGGAGAGGTAACTCAAGGCAGTACTCAGCAGTGAGCACACAAAGTCATAAGGCAGGGAAAAGCGGGAATGAGACTACACTGGAAGTGGGCAAGAGCTGTCTGTAATAACTGGGCCAAACACTGGATTTTTACGTCACCGTTCATGTGGAAAAGGTTATGTTTTTCCCTTAAGCTTGACCATCATTAAACTCGGAATTGTAACACTTGGGCTTTAGGTTCCCTTTATCAAGCATAGCTTATTATGCTCATGTGATCTAAAACGTGAATTAGCACCTCTCCTCCCCCAACCTCTTCCCTATTAAAATAACCAAGAGTCATCAATTCTTTCTGAGAAAGGGATTGTGAACAACTGAAATAGATTTCCTTTTAAATTAGCATTAAGAGTGAATACCCTGCACTTAATTTGGTAGTGATGTCTTCCACATTTTCTTCCATCTTCTCATGCTGTGGAATAAAACAGTGAATAACTGGAAAAAGTCACTCTCCTGTCCTAAGACCCAAGCTCTTTTACAGATAAAGATGCTGGAAAAATTTTTAAATACTCAAATGCAACCTAACAAAATTTGGAATGTGGGGCTGGGGATTTAGCTCAGCGGCACAGCGCCTGCCTGGCAAGCACAACGTCGTGAGTTCGATTCCCGGTACCGGAAAAAAAACAACAAAAACAATTTAGAATGTTATTACCTGAAGTCTTTTTATAAAAATCTTATTCTATATTTTATTGTGTTTGCGTTTCTAGAAGCAAATGAAGATTATCCAAAACAAAAGCACTATTAAGATTATACCAGCTAATAGGGAAATTAAGCATACTCAAGATATTTTAATGGTATTTATTCCAGCAACCACATTTTTATAAAAGCATAATTTTAATTGGATTATCTGCTTCAATATTTTAGAGATTCATGAATCAGCTTTGATGGTCAAGGAGCCTGTAAAAGAGATCATCATACAGAGAAATGTAGTTAAGCTGAAGCTTAGCAGAGATCACAAAAAGCTGGCTCCTGTCTTGAGTTTCCTAACTTGACCATAAATAAGCCACGTATAATAGCAGCTGCATGGCAAACAACAGACAGTCACACATGATGGTTTCCAGAGGAGTCTTCTCTAACACAGTAAGTGGGTGGCAGCTCATTCTTTCCTCGAGACAGCAGTTTCTGGAAATTTAGTAGGAATCATACCAGCTGAAGCCATTATTCTGATCACATCGCTGTGTCTTCAGAATTGGAGGAAGAATTTGAGGCTGTACTGTGGGCCTGTGCAAAAAAAACCAAGGATTTACAAGTGGTAGAGTATGAACACCTAGAGTTGGATGACCCAATCAGGAAATAGAATCAGTCACTAGAAGACTAGTATTATGAATTCAATACTTGGCCTTGTTTCCAATGTGCTCTTTGACACATTAACAAAGTTCTTAATGCCTATGTATATCTTTTCTTCAATGGACTTCTAATGGAGTTTTCTAAAAGGCAATTAGAATACTTTTTTGTTAAGCTTTCCAGAATATAAGTCAGTGGCTATTTTGTGTGTTCATTATTTGTTATTTACATCATCAGTAGAATTATTAGAAAAAAATATTGTTTACTTTTAGAGTCCTGATGTTGCTATAAATTTCCTTTACAAACCTGGATAAGTCATTTCAGTTTTGGACCTCATTCATGTATGAAAAATAATTGGACCAAAATGTAAAGCCAAGACCTACCGAGGAATTTATCTAATTCAGATATGTACAGAATGTTTAATCTTTGCTAAGAATGTTGTAACACCTGCCAAATAACAGTGGTAACTCAGTTTACAAAATGAATTTGTTTTACAATTTTGGAGACAGTGGCTGTGTTTCTGTGGAGAGAAGATGGCCATGGTCATGTTTGTCACCCGATGCAGCACCTGTGTTTATAAATGTTGCCCCTAATCACCATTTTTATGCTCACTCTGCACCAGCTACTGTTCAAAGTGTTTTAATAGTCTTAGGTAATATAATTCTGGTAACTGTTCTACAAATTATCCCTGTTTTAGAGGTGGAATAGAGCAAATATGTTTACCCAAGACTGGTAAGTGATAGAACCATAATTTTTACCTAGACAGTGTCATGTTTTTCTGGTGGTCTCCATTATAATTTTAGTAAACTTATTTCTTGATTTATCAGCCCTACATAATAGCTACCAACTGAATGCTGTGCAAATAAGAAATTGTCCATATTCTGCCTCCTCTCTAAAATAACTTACATCTTTACATTATCATTTTCCAGTATTAGAAAATCTCTGGTAAGTACGGACATAAAGTATCTTCATTAAGTACCATACTCTGGGGTAAGAAAGAGATCAGAAAAAAGAAATGCTTCAGCACCACTCACTCGTTCTTTCACCACATGGGAGTCGCGCTCTGACTCTACTGATGTTTCTTCTTTGGAATCAGGGCAGACATCCAGTGGATCAGCCATGGAGGAAGTGATTGGAATTTTCTTAGCTTGGAAGTAATCATAGGCCTTCTTTCCGCAGACCAAGAGTGTGATGTTCTTCCCACTACTCTGGATCTTGTCTACTACCTTCTCATAGGGTTCATCCAGCACGTTCACCCCATCCACTTCAATGATAACGTCCTCATTCTCCAGCCCAGCTGCATCAGCAGGGCCTCCCTTCTGCACCTGTGAACATGAGGTTTCAAGTTAGCAATTGCAACATGAGAAAGAGCACAGTAGACTAGCTTCCCTTTAGATGAGGTAGTTGAAGTTTATTCTTAACCATATTTCTCCTTGAGGTACAGAAGAAAGGTTCTTTAATGCTTTTCTACTTAGGAAAGCTACTTCATACCCAAGTAGTGGTATAAACTGGTTGAGTATCATAGTGATGTATTATGCACTGAAGGCAATAGATTTCACAGGCCTCCCTTCACACCCGATTTGAGAGCTACAGGGGTTGTCTGTTCACTGCCAGTCCCTAGAGGAGGGGGTTATACCACATGAATAAAGGCAAACAAGTGTCTCCCCGTCAAGGTTGGCAGTGAGTCAGCCTGAGTTGTGTCAACTCACTGTGTTTATTCTATTTGAAAGTGTCTAGGGAGAGAACTGAATGGAATCGTTTGATAAGCAAAAGATGAAATTATGATGTAACAGGGTGAGGGACTGTATCTGAATCTAAATGGAATATAGTCTTTCCATAACCTTTCTACTAAGATATCTATGGGCAGGAGAAGCTGAGATTATCCTAGTTGTGACTGTTGACTGGGGGCTGGGGCCAGATTACCATACCTCTTTGACGAATGAGCCTGGCAGACCCCGAATGGCATTTAAGTGAAAGCCGTAGCCATTTTCATCTTTAACCAGCCTGCAGAGTTTAGGCTTATGATCTACTTCCTCTGTACTGTCTGGACTTGAGACCTCCAGAGGAGCAGGAGCTGGGGTCTCCGTGACAGAACCATTAGGCAGTTCTTGATTTTGATAGTAGAGGAATGGAGAAAATTGAGCCTTTTGAAAAACAAAATTTTAAGTATGAGTAGTTGCACTTTAATATATGCTGGTTTCATTTATAAGTTGTAATATGGGTTCCACTCTTTCTGGATAAAAACTGCTCTAGTACCCTAACCAAGAAAGGTATAAAAGGTTGGTTATAGAATAATATTACATAAATAAAAATATAACCAGATGCATATATGTACATAAAGTAAAAGCAGTGTAGAATTCTGTACAATGATCCAAAAGCATATCTCACAAAATTGCTAACTTCTTCTGGCTCCGCAGAAGTGAGCACGTCCCTGTACAACCCTCACACAGGGCTCTTGATAGAGAACACACGTCTGAGTGAGTAGCCCACTGTTATAATCTCCCCTTGGGGCTGGGATTTAGCTCAGTGGCAAAGCGCCTGCCTGGCAAGCGCAAGGTCATGAGTTCGATTCCTGGCACTGCAAGAAAAATGAAAAACGAAAAAAAAAAACGTTATAATCTCCCCTTGATCATCTGCAGCATTCCTTAATCAAGATAAAGTGAAATAAAACACTTTTATCCCTTGGAATTTGAAGACAACAGAGAAGGCCAAACGTGTACACATAATAATTAGGAGAAGGTGGTCACATACTGTAACAAAAGTTAATTCCAACCATTCACTACTTGATACCCGCCTGTCTCCCCAGTGCTGGGTTCGTCTCCATTCTGTTTGCTGTTCATTGTTAGCTGGCAGCTCTGTAATGCCAGACTTCCTACCATCTTTAAATACTTCGAGCTCAGTTACCTCCATTCATGTGCAAAAAGTGTGGTTGGTCTTGAATAGAAGAACAGCACAAAAACATGAGTTCTTTTTCTTTTTTAGTGGTGGTGGTGGTGGTGGTATTGGGGATAGGCCCAGAGCCTTTGCACTAAGCTCTGTCCCCAGGCCTCTCCCCCATTTTGAGACAGGGTCCTAAGTTGCAAAATCGGCCAATCTGGGCTCAAACTTGTGATCCTCCTGCCTCAGCTTCCTGGAGTACTGATACTCTGGGCATGTACAGCCCCATCATGCCCAGCTATGACTAATGTTTCTTAATAGAATTAACAGCTTTACTGGCTGAGGATTTTACCTGAGAAGGTCAGGATGATAGATTGGGGTTTGTTATGAACTCAGATCAGTGGTTAAGTTGCTGCCCACAATGCCCGGGACATTTGTTCAGCCATGAACAGGGAGGTCAGCACTGTGGGCTCCACCTAAATCACACTAGCTGCCTGGGGAAAATTCGATTTGGAGTTCCTCTAGTTATTCCCCTGTCTTACTAACTACAAGACCATGTTTCCTTCTTTTCTGAGAGTTGAGCCAGGACAGACCCTTCTGGTTACCTGGTTCAACTAATTGCAGAGCTCTCCGTCAGTGATCTTATTCCACGTTGGAATGTCTCTCAAAAGTGTGGAAAATTATCACAGTGCTGTATTATGTGCCAGAATATCAATAGGATGACCTCAACAAGTATGTCAGCCGTATCTGACAACTGCAAGTTTAGGTAAAATAAATTAATGTTTAAAGATATAATGCACTTTTCATTCATCACTTGGATATTTGGGTATCCAGTGTGTGCCAGGAACCTTGTAGGTGTTTGATTTATTCACTGCTATAGTTCAAAGATCCACCCCCACCCCAATCTGTGGAGTTTACTTTTAAGGAGTAAGGGCAACATCTTTTTAGAACAAAATTCTCTTAAATTCACCAAAACACAAAAATGAGTTACATCATTGTGTCACAAGGTTAGGAAAGTGCCAGAATCCCTTTTACAACAGCTGGAGTGGTGGCCTGCTGGCTTCTGCTTGACTTTTTCCACCAGATGAGAGCTCAGCACTCTGCAGGAATGATTCATCCAGTTTCTGGCACCTTCAGCTTTGAAGCCAGAAATAGCTCCCGATGGCTTCTGAATTTGGTCTAGCTGTGACCTACAGATCACCTCAAAAAACTAAGAGTACTTCTCACATACAGTACTCTTTCAGGTTCTTTTTTCCCTTTTAAGTTCTTGAAGATGCTCTCCTCCAAAGCCTCTGCTTGTTCAAACTAGGTGCTCACATGGTGGCTTCTAAAATCTCTTCCCCAGCTACTTGTGACAGGTGCTCCTAAAGTGGGATTCTCAGAACTGGATACCGCATTTTAGTGAGGAGGGTGTTTTTTGGTGTGTGTGGTGCTGGTGATCAAACTCTGGGCTTTGTGCATGCAAGGCAAGAGTTCTATCTACCACTGAGCCTTACCAGCCCCCCTACCCCTGGACATTGTGTTAACAAACATAACATTTACAAATGAGAGACCTTATCCCATATGCTCTAAATATTACCTTTAACTCTCTAGCCACCCTTTACAATAACCACCCCATCTTACTATAAACAGGCACAGAGAGGATAACATGCCCAAGGGCACACTAATACGTCCAAGGATTCTGACCAAGTCAGTATGATGAGGTGATTATCTCCAGAAGCTAAGTGTGGATTAGTATAACTTTAAATTGCTCTCTTTGGGTGGGGCAGCTTTTTAGAATATCAAGTCATCAGATTGAGTCTCACCATTGCATATTCATACATTTTACAACAAAGTTGATTAGTACTTGAATTTATTTTCATTTAAACTTAATTCATTAGCTTTAAACTTAATTCTTTCTATCCTGATTAGGCATTTTATACCCTCCTACCAATCATCACGGCTTTAAGTCCTGTAAATGTACATTAAATACGTTTTCTATGTTTCCATTCAGATTTAATAAACTAGGATAGGAACAAGTTGCACACCATTGGTGACTTCTGTTCAGCTTGGCATTTCTCCAGTATCAAGTGTTCTGTAGGTATGGCTGTTTAGCTAAAAAAATCATCTGTTTCACTTTTTCATCTGGTTTACAAAAAATATCTTGAAATACCTAATCAAAATGTGCTGAGGAGTATGGCATGAATTGAGTCCAGGAACTTGGGTTCAAATTCTGGCTTCAGTCTCTACTAAGCTGGGTGACTTTAGTAAATCACTTGATCTAAACATCAGTTTCCTAGTCTATACAAAGGGGCTAATAGCACTACCCATAATAATCCTGCCTTGGTAACATTTGTGTGCCCTTAGATGCTTCAGACTGAATATCACATAGAACAAAATCCACTTATCTTATTCATTTTTAGGACTAACATGTAGCAAGACAGGTACCTAAGCCCCCAGATGCCTTTTAAATTACACTGAACCTCAGTTATTTGTGATTTTTTCTTTTAATTTGGGGGGAAAGGGGACTGGGGATTGAACCCAGGGCCTTCACACGGAGTTACACAGCTACAGCTCTAGCCCTTGGTGAAAGGGGTGGGCATTTGGAGGGACAAAGTCTCAAGTTGCTAATTGCCCCAAGCTGGGCTGGAACTTGGGATCTCCCTACCTCATCCTCCCAGAGTGCTGGCATTACAAGTTTATGCCACCACGCCTGGCTAAACCTGTTTTAGTGATAAAATAAGGGTGTTGTAAAACTTTAAAACATGCAAATAGTAGCTGTTCAGAGAGTTATTAAGAAGTGTATGTTTGCTACATCTTGGTCTGAGTGAATCTTTCTGCTCACTTCATTTGCTGAGGGCTTACAAATAATAAAATAATCTTTTCTAGGCTTTTACATGAAATTGGTGGAACTTACTGGTCTATAGTTTAAAACCCAGTTGCTTCCTATTTGGGGAAGTTAGGGCTACATCTGTCTATTTCTAGACTCCTATTCTCCAGAGATTATTTCAGGTCACCAAGAGTAATTCTGCAGTTTACTTGCAAATTCTTTGAAAATCTTGAGTCCAAGGACTTAAAGCATATTTAGTAATCAGATACCCTGTTCCCTTATCAGTACCAGTTTGAGCCTCAATTCACTGCTAATAATTATTCCCCTGGCTGTGGATGTAGCACAGGGGTAGAGCGCTTACTTTGCTGGCGTGTGCAAGAGCCTGGATTCAATCCCCAATATCACCAAAAAACAAACAGACAACAACACAAAAGAAGAATTTTCTCAAATACCTTTTTAAAAGTATGCCCATTCCACTTTGAAGAACAAAGTATTAATAACTCTACCCAAAATTTAAGGGTATGAGTGAACAGACCAACCTTAACACATGATGTGTGGCCTTGTATTACTCACCAGTCTGTACAGATTATCCGTCTCCTTGTCTACCACCAAGAGTGAGGTCTCCTCTCCACCCTTTCTAATCATTTCCACCACACTGTCATGATCGAGGGTTTCCACAGACTTGCCATTGACAGCAACTAACAGGTCATTTTTCTTCAATCCAGCTGCTTCTGCTGGACTTCCAGAATCTATGTCCTTGATGATTTGACCTATGCCCCCCCCAAAAAATTAAATTATCAGAAGAGATACTAAACAAACTGGGACTTCTGCTGGAGTCCAGGGCCCTGATGAAACAGATACAAAAGGTATGCTGAGCACAACTCCTTTCCCCCTACATCCCAAGAAGTGTACAAGCACCCTATCTAGGCTCTTCCCCAGGAACAAACCCAGCCATTAACAATGAAAGGATCTTAAAGGAGTAAGAATCATGTTACGAAAAATGTCTGACATTCAATCTTGACCAAATAAGCAGGCTAAGCATTAAGGGTCAACAAATTCCCAGGAAGTCAGTGAGCTTGCTTATATCCATAAACCCTACACAGATGATAACCCATAAAAAAGGGAGAAAGAATGAAGAAGAAAAGATTTCAGACCTTTGGAGACCCATCCTAAGAGCAAACGGGTGTGCCCAGTTGATGTGTTGTGTGTGCATGCATCAGGGACCTGTCTATCACTTACTTCTCACTTCAGCTCTTTTATCAGATGCCTCCAGATCTCTCACACCTTTCTTTGTCCCTCACACTTTTTTTTTTTTTTGCATTTCTATACCCCTGTTACAATGCCATGTTACAGTAGCCATAGTAGTTGCCCAGGACATTTTCTAACTTACTAATTTTCTCTCTTCTTGTTGAGAGAGGTTCTCACTGTGTAGTTAGGGCTGGCCTTGAACTCATCATGATCCTCCTGTCTTAGCCTCCAAAATCCCAAATACTAGGATTACAGGCATGCACCACCAGGACCAGTTCTCACACCATTTTTGACAAGCTCCACTTTCACTTTTTCAGCGAGCTGCTAGTATCTCCAACAAAATATCTCATAGATTCCTTCAGTGGTAATCTCAATTCCCAGAATTCATCTCTGGCCATTTCCCATGAAAAGCCCCTCCTCTGGTCCCCTCTGATGCACCATCCACCCACTGCCAGCACATGGCAGCTGATTCTTCCTCAGGATCCACTCCCATGTCTAGTCAATCACTCAGTCCTCCCACACTACCTTCATACTCTATACATCACGCTTCCCCAGTACTGTTCCCCTCCCTGAATGCAATTTGTGTCCGTGCTTCCCCAGAACTGTAGTTCACCAGGTGCTCTCCCCCTCAATCCTCCAAATCAGCCCCCTTCTGACCCATCTTAATGCTCGCGTCCAATCATGTGTCTCCCCCGCACAACAGAATGAGCCTGGGCTTTGGAAATAAATGAGTTGAAGCCCACCTGTACCACAGCTGTTTAACCTTACATAATTACCTTGCCAGCATGATCAATTTTAGCAATCCTCTTGCAGAACTGTTAGTAAGAGAGATGTAAAGCCCCTAACATACGGTGAGCTTAAACTTTTTCCTTTCCCCTCACACTGATCAAAAATTTTTGTCTATCAATTATGAGCTGAGGCCAAACTGGTCCCCAGTATTAGGCTGGACCCCAAGTGACACTGAAACCCACAGCTGTGCTTCCTAATTCCTCGCTGTTCTTCCACTTGTGTGGAGAGTTGGCCTACCAGCACTTGAGAGTCAGGTTGGGATGGAGACGTGTGGTCACACTGCCTGGTTTTCTGCTCCTTTATTGCCTCACCTTTGTGCTCTGGCCCTGCCCTCAGATAGAAACCGTAGCCATTGCTTCCCTTCTTCATCTCCACGACCCGAGGCTGGTGGGGCAGCAGTTTCAAACTAGCTGTTTCCCTCTTGAATTGTATCTTTTGTTCACTATGGTACTTGTCAGTTTCTTTGTCCACAAGAAGGAACATGACACGGTTTCCGGACTTCTTCACCTGCAACAACACACACAGAGGAGGAACTTGTAGGGACAGAGCTGGGGAATCCGAGGGTTTTGGTAAAAAGGCTCAGTCTCTGTCTTCAACAGAAAGCATGGGGTGTGTGGCCTGCTTGTAAGCTGTAATACTATTTTCTACAACTCAATTGTTATTTATCTATCTCCACTTCTAGAGTTGCTCTTTACCCTTTTGTTTAAATACAACCTCATCCACACAGATATTAATGAACCCAAGACAGAAATGAAATTCAGAAAACCCAGGAAGGTGTGTAGGCAAGGGCCAGAATAGGAATTTGGAAAAGAAAAGAAATGATCCACTCCACAAGATCATTTCTCTACCGAGGGAAAAGAAAGTTGGTGAATTTAAGATTCTTCACGGCTTCAAAGGAAAACTTCCCAGTATTTCAGTGTACCGTGCAGCTCCCAATGTTTGCATGTGTGGATCTGTACAGTAGCCCTTGCCATCCGCGCTTTCATTTTCTGCAGGTTCAGTTATCTGAGCTCAGCCACTGTCCAAAAATATTAAGTGAAGAACTTCAAACATAGTTAATATGCATTGGGTTGCATTCTGTTCTGAGTAGCATGGTGAACACCTTTCCCAGTGTATCCATGCTGTACACACTATCCTTACTGCCCATTAGTTATTTCCTGTACATGCACACCTATGATAAAGTTTAGTTTATAAATCAGGAACTACTGGGCATGGTGGAACCCACCTGTAATACCAGCACTCTAAGAGGCTGGGAGGCTGAGGCAAGAGAATCCCAAATTGCTTCAGCCTGGACAATTTAGCAACTTAGTGAGACCCATCTCAGAAAATAAAGAGCTGGGGATGTAGCTCAGTGCAAAGGCCCTGGGTTTAATCCCAGGTACTACCACCAAAAAAAAAAAAAAAAAAAAGCACAGTAAGTAATGAATAACAATAATAAAACAGCTATGATAAGTTATTTAAAACTTGTACAGCCGGGGATATAGCTCAGCGGCACAAGCGCCTGCCTGGCAAGCGCAAGATCCCGAGTTCGATTCCCAGTACCAAAAAAAATCACTAATATAAAACTTGTACATTGTGAATTCTGTATTTCTGCAACTTTTCATTTAAAATTTTCAGATGTGACGACCATAGACAACTGAAACTGCAGAAAGTGAAAATGCAGATGGGGTCTTGGTTACTTTTCTCTCATTGCTCAGACAAAGTATCCGACCCACAAGATTAAGGAAGGAAAGGTTTATTTAGCTCGCAGTTTGTGGAGGATTCAGTCCATACTCAGCTGGCTCCAAGGCAAGTTGGCACATGGCAGAGGGCAATAGTTCAAGGAGGTGGAAAACAGCAAAAGCAGCAAGAGCAAAAAGAGAGAAGCAGCAGCAAGCAGCCTCTTCCTCTCTCTTACATTGTATGTAGGCTGCCCACCCTAGGGCAGGTGTAGCACTCACACGCACAATCCCGGCACTGGACCATGAGTCAATCACAAATTCTAGAAGCCCTGCATGAGGCTTTAGGAGGACATCTAGACACAAACAATAACATGGGGGCAGGGTGCTTATTGGAAAATAAGATCCAAAAAAAAGGGAAATGGTTCTTTACACTTCTGACCTGAAACTAGCAAAGGCTTTATTCTAAAGCTCTACTAGCCCTGTTTATGCCACTAGTGAATCTGTTCACCCTGAATACAAAGGGGCAAACAATCCTCCATCATAAACTCATCCCAGACCCTAGCAAACAACTTCCTGTCACTTCCAAGGTGAATAAAAGGATAGAAAACGCAGGCCTGGGACAGGGTTACCTTCTCAACTACTTCCTCGTGGCTGGCATTCTCTACGTTCTCTCCATTCACTTCAATCAAGTGATCATCGTTCAGGACTCCAGCTTTCATAGCCACACCCTGAGGGGTCACATCAGTCATGCGCACTCCCTTTGTACCTAGAAGGCAGTGGAGAGGAGAGAGGGTGCCAGTGCACAGAACTGGAAGTCCGGTGTCTAAAGGGATTTTTCCTAATAACGTGGAATTAGGGCTTCCAGTTGTACAGCTACCTCAGCCTTCAGCTTCTGATCTGGAATCAGTATTATAGCTCCTAGTACAAAGCTACTGCTCCGTGGATACTGGATTTAAATATAATTTGAGCCCAAATAAATCAAGGAAAGAATCTCAGGTGACATTGGCCTTCTGAACCAGAAAGTGCCAAGCCATGCCCACCCTGTGTCATATTTGTGTCATACTTGCTTTCTCTGCATCTGCACAGTCAGAAGGCATCTATTCTGTTCCTCCTCCTTTAGTGCTGTCCCCAGCCACCATCTCACTGACTTAGGCCTCCGAGACTGGAAGCACAGAAGGGAGGCAAAAGCACATGTGTTTTGATAATGTGATCTGCAGGGCCTCAAACACTCAAATCTTTTAAGATACTAATATTTCCCTCTACGCAAGATGACTGTACAAATTCCTTGCAAGGAATAACTTAATTCCTTTTTCCTTAAGCATTTCACATTTCTCTTGTTACCTTGTTATATATTTGTACAAAGAAAACATTTTCTTCATAAAGTTAACACAAACCATGAGCATTAGCACAAAAGCCAAGTAAAATCTGAATTATGAGTTTACCATTTTACTGACAGTGAACTTCTAAGAAATGCGAAGCTTCCTTTGGATACCCATACCACTGAGTTTAATAACTGAAAAATTTGAGAACTCTTATAATTAATTTATATCTCTGCTACAGGTTAGCTTAGTATTGGTGACAATTTCAAGTTTCTGATTGATCTATTCCTTTATCATTTACTGAATCATGACCAACCACCAGGGCCAGAAAAACACTGGGCAGAGGGCAACATCTGAGATGACACTGACTAGCTAACATTATGTCCTCTGATTCCAACCAGTGTTGCAGGGAAGCCACTGTAGAATTCTGGTCAGCTGAGCTAATTTATCTGTGCTTAGCTTCCTTGTCTGTAAGATACTAATATATGCTTGATAAGGTTGTGATAAGGCTTTCACAAGATTAGGAGTACTGACCTATGCTCAGCTGCACTTTTAAAATTATGGAACAGGATCTCTAGTACTTCCTGACGTCAGGGTTTCCCCAATATGAGTCTTTTAGCTAGAGGTCAGAGGTGCAATTCAGGGGCTACAGTGGAGGATGATATTTAAATGTCACAGGAAGGTAGAGATTTTTCCAGTATCCTTTGCAACTCTCAATGGCATCTGACACATCAATAGGTGCTCAGGAATTTGTTGAGTAAATGAATGACTATCTGAGCACTCAGCAATGAAAAGAAATACTGGTCTTACTCAAAATTAGCTAATAGGAAGAATCCTTTTCTTGTTTCCCCTTTGCCTTCATCCTAAGGGAGCTAGAAAAGAATGATTTAGAAGTATCAACCCTCTAACCCTCTAGCCTTAAAATGTCAACCTAATACTGGGGCACAAGAATGCCCAGGGACCACCCCAGATTGCCATTGTCCAGGGTCCGATCCCAAGTTGCACAACTGTGCCAGGCAAGAAAATATGCAAGAGAGGGAGGGAGGGAGAGAGAAGCTGCTGTGGGATATCTAAAGCAACTGAAAAGTTAAAGAAGAAAAGTCATTAACTAGTAAAAACATCTTCCTTCTGGAAGACCAGTGTCAGAGCCTTACCCTCCTGCTCACCTTTGACAGTTTTCAGAGAGAAGCCGTAGCTGTTCCCCTCCTTCACCAGGTAGCAGAGCCTCGGCTGGGCCCAAGTCACTCCTCCATTCATCACAGGAGCCACTTTCAGGTCATTCAAATCCACCTCCTGGCTTTGACCCACCTCTTTCAAGTCTACCCCTTTTTTCACAGCTTTCTCATAGGAGTCTCCATCCAGGACTAGTAAAGTCACAGAATTCCCACTCTTTCTGACCAGATCTACCACCTAGGAAGGGGAAGAGAGGTAACTTTAGTATTAATAACCCTCTGTCAACTGCAAGAGGGAAATGCTTGTTATTTGGCTCACTGTGTGATTCCAGTAGCTGACCTGACACCCACATAGGATCCCACAGCACTCCTAATCTCCATGTACAAATTGGGATGGGCCCCTGGCATTGCTGGAACCCAGGGAGCACTTACAATGACTGACATTTTCTAGAGGTGGATGATACCCCACAGCACAGCATGTCCCCCAGTTCTATGGGGGAAACAGCAGAGTGACAAGGGCATCAGGCAGCACTGGAGGAAGGCCCCCATGTATTCACTGCATGAACATTGAAGCAAACTAATTTATCTGTGCTTAGCTTCCTTGTCTGTGAGATGCTAATATATGCTTAGTGAAGTTGTGATAAGGCTTTAACAAGATTAGGAATATAAAATTGCCTTAGCACAATTATTAGCATATACACTTTTTGGTTAATTATAGGGGACTTTGTTGATCAACGTAAATTAAAATGGTAAATCCTTGCCAGTGGCAGCCAGGAAAAAATCAAGTTCTACTGACCCCCAAAATCATAATTGGCCAAGAAAAGGCTGAGGCTGAAGAGATCCTAGAAGAACCCTAAATATCTTGTTCACCTGCATGTGCTCTTCCTTGTCGACAAAGACGCCATTGATCCTGAGAACTCTGTCTCCATCCAGGAGCCCAGCCTTCTCTGCTGGGCTACCCTTTTCAATCACCCGGACCAGGTGCCCGTCGGTGTCCTTCTCAATTCTCAGGAAGAAGCCATAGGTCTGCCCTTCTGGTTTGGACAGCTTACATTCTCGGGCTTTAAAGACGGCAGCCATTTCTGTAAGGGAAAAGGAATGAATGAAAAAACAAATGGGAAGGAAAATCTAATCATGTGAGAACCCTGTCCTTTATATTCTCTAATTCTGTTCTCCCATGTTTCAATGTAGGAACGTTGGGGTTTTAGGAGGAGTCCATACAGGACTTGCTAATGATATCTAAATCGATCTCCCCAAGGTTGATGCTTTTACTTGAGTTTCAGACCCAAGTATTCAACTAAGTACTGTACACTGATGCTCCAATTTCATTAGCTCAAACCAAACTCTTCTTTGCCCTCTGATTAAAAGGAAATTAAATCTAAACACATGATCCAAAAATTTTAAGAAAAAGTGGGCCCTCTTTCATTGGAATATTTGAAGATTCTATCAAGTTCTGGGCATTGAAGACAAATCTGTGGAAAGACAGATGAATACTTGTTTCCTGTCAGAGGCAACATGGTTATGTCTTTACAACACGTGGTGAGTGTTAAGAACAACAGAAGGATAATAAGAACATAACAATAGGCCTTTAGCCAGGCGTGGTGGTGCACACCTGTGATCCTAGCACTTAGGAGGCTGAGGCAAGAGGATCACTGTGAATTCAAGGCCAGACTGGGGTAAATAATAAGTTCAAGGATAGCCTGAACCACCTAGTGAGACCCTGTCTCAAAGTGGGTAGGGGGTGTCTTTGGAAATAGGGAATACAGTGAGAAGAATTAAGAAGGTTTTCTGGAGAAGTGAAGGGTTAGCAGGAGTCAGGTAAGGTCAGATAGGACAAGGAAGACCTCCAACAATTAAAAACTGAAGAATCCATGCTTCCGAACTGGCCTGACATATCAGTGATACAATAGAAAAGTGGTTGTACAGGACCCTGAAGTTTCCCATCAGAGCAGGACAGGGATGCCGGATAGAAAAAGCGTGTCTGTGGCCAGGTGAGTTCTCCCTCTTAAAGCAGCTCGTTTCCCACCCCCCTCCTGCCCTCCCACTGCCTCTCTGCAGGATCAGGGTCCTGAGGCACAGGAAGATGGCCGGACAAGTGTGAAAAACACCTGGCACTTTGGCCTCAGGTTACTGTTTTTGTTTTTGTGTTTTTGTTTTTGTTTTTTTTCCTGTACGGGGAATTAAACTCACAACCTTGTGCTTGCCAGGCAGGCGATGTGCCCCTGAGCTAAATCCCCAGCCCCTCCTCCGGGTACTGTTAGCGTGAATCTGCCAGTGGCCCCAGTGCCTCTCGCTTAATGCTCTTCATTTCGTGGAAGACTAAGCCCGGGAACGATAACAGCAAGAGACTTGCCAGCAAGGCAGCAGACTCTTGTATTCACCTGGATACTGTACACGTACGCTACAATTTCATTAGCTCACATCAAACTCTTCTTTGCTGCCTGACTGAAAGAAATTAAGTCCAAATACATGATCCAAAATTTTTAACACAAGATGAGCAGAAAGCTGGAGTCAGCTTCTTTAAACTTCTTTGTGTCCCCGTGTCATAGTTACCTACTTGTGAATCAGAATAAACCATCTGTCCCTTCCCTCCTGGAAGGACAGGGACAGATGACCTGTGGGGTTCAGAGGGAGCAGGGTGAGAGTAGGTAGCCGTCAAACTGCTCCAGTCTCCCTAGAAGCCATGCCCTGGGGGTTTGAAACCTCCACCTCCGTCCCTTGTGGCCATAGAAAGGGGGCTTTACAAACTGGACAGGAAGCCTCCTGCTGCCCCATGACTCGACCGTATCATACGGCTTCTGCAGTCTGGCAACCAGCCCACAAGGGGCGCAAATGACTAAGCAGTCAGGGAGACAAGAAACAAAGACTTCCCATCAAGTATCAGGGAGAGAAACCCGACGTGAAGCGGTAACCTGCAACATGGGATTGCTTAGCATCTGCTGCATCCAAAGACACAACCAGCCACAGAAAAAGGCTGCCTGGGAGGAAAGCGGAAAGTATAGGTCATCTCCTCAGTTTCCTCCGGCAGGCACCTGACCCCTGACCTTTTACTTCCCTCTCTGCTGGTCTCCAACCTGCACAAATCAGTGCCATTTGCAGCTTGAATCCACGTCTGTGTCAAAGCTCCTCTCTAATTCAGCTCTCAACCTCACAGGCTGAAAAACCTCGAGGGAAAAAACCAAAGCCCTCTTAAATAGTCAGGTAATTAATTGCTGAGGAACTTCAAATATTTAAAAATCTGATATATCTCCTTAGAATAAAAACCTGCTGGATTGTTTTCATGAAGAGATGCAGCTGTCTGCCACTGACAGAGAATGCTCATTTTTCAAGCACTTACCTCTGAACTCTGCTCTTCCCTTGCGGTGTCAACCACAGCCGCTTAGTTTCTTTATAAGCCAGGGACAAAAAGTGAAACTTCCTCACTAGAACTAACTCCTATGTTTCGGGATGGAGGAGGAGATAGTTTTCCTTGTGTCTTACTAGAGACCCGAAAGCTGGATATACAAGGAGACACAAGTTACTTATTTCTTGGCAAAAATCTCAAGCTATATTTTATTTTGTAGGTTAGTCAAAGTTTCCAAGTAGCCTGACTAAAATCACTCTGACCTGCCTCAGGCACTTAGGGTCAGAGGTTTATAAAATGTATTTATTTTTGTTTTAGTTTTCTGTTTGTTGCAGAACTAGAGACTGAATCACTTGCCTGCTGGGCAAGTGCTCTACCACTGAGCTACACTCCCAGGCCACCTCCTTTTTCAACACTGAGACAGGGTCTCACTAAACTGCCCAGACTGGCCTCACATTTACAATCCTCCAGCCTCAGCCGCAGTCCGCATAGTGGCTGGGATTACAGGTATCTGCCACCATGTTCAGCTAAGGTCAGAGTTTCTTTTCACCTCTGCGGTTGAAGCTAGTGGGAGAGCCAGTTCCTAACAGAAATGCTACCATACCTGTGGGGAAGCAGCAGGGCTTCAAGCCCTGACGCCTCCAGCCATCTGTGCACGCCCCCCCACGGCTCAGCCACTAGAGCAGAGGTGGTGAACCTATGGCACATGTGTTATTTTGCTCTTAAGACAAAAGATGTTAATGAATGAGTATTTTCTATATTAAAACCTCAGTATTCGGGTTTAATTGCTATCAGGTTAAGTGCTGGCACTTTGCAATAAATAAGTGGCTTTTGTTTTGTTTTTCTCCCAGTACCAGGAATCTAACTCACAACCTTGCACTTGCCAGGCAGGTGCTATGCCGCTGAGCTAAATCCCAGGGCCCAAATAAGTGACTTTTGAGTTGCAGTTTGAGCACTCATCTCCGAAAGGTTTGCCACGGCTGCATTAGAGGGTTAATGCCAGAATCCATGGACTGGCAGACGCCCACACCAAACTGATTAAATTATAGCATTCAACTGGGCTGATGGAAAAAGCTAGCCAGGACCCCAAATACCTGTTCTTACATGGGGCTCTGGCAGTCCCAAACTATTTCTTTCCTTTGCCATGTTAGAGATGATTCTTCCAGGAGCCACAAGGGCTGGCTCTGGTCCACCTCCAGTCCCAGTTCTATCCAGTCCACATCTTGCTGTTACACTGGCCCCTCAGTCAGGCCCAGGGTCCATCATGGTCCACCACTTCAGCAAGTCTGTATGACTGCACTGTGACAAGGGAGCCTGGGACTCAAACACAGGTCCTAACTAGGAAGGTCTCTATTCAGGATCTGTTTTCTTTCTTTATTCCCCTCCCCATCTACTGCTGCCTGAGGAAATCTGGGCATCTGTGGAAGCTAGCTTGCTAACTAACTAGTGAAGACCTGGGTTTTTATAACATCAAGTCAGCAATGACCCAAAGCTGGAGTCCATTAAATCGTCAGCAGTCTTTATTCCCCGATTCAAAAGGCCAAAATACTGTTCTGGAAATGAAAACTGTACTGTTTTCATTTTTACGGAAAAAATACTGTTCTGGAAAGGAAAACTATAACCTTTTCTGAGCTCTGGGGAGGGGGAGTCAATACTTGGCAACAAAGTTGCTTATCTGTGGGAAAGAGAACAAAGCACCAGCTGGCAGATAGCGAAGGCTCAGAGGTGAGAGCCAAAGAGATATTTTTTCCCATCAATCTTAATTATTAATCATGTTAACCCTACCTTTAGACTCCACTTTATTCCAAAAGGACTAGATTATTGCTATCAGGGAAAAGAATACACCACAGTAAAGAAAATTAGACACACTTTAGAGGTTAGGAATGTGAGATAATACCCACAGAGTGGATGGGGAAACCTCACAATGTAGTCAGCATAGAAAAATTAAAGCCACTAGACTATTTTCTACAGGAAAAAAATAACTGGTGAGATCCAGGGGACTTCTCACAAGCCCAGGGTGGGCCAGGGTTTCTCAGCTGCCAGCCCTCTGCCCATGCGGAGTGGTACGTGATCCTTCGTCCACACCAGCCCTCAACACTGCCCCTCACAGAGACCTGGACATCTGAACCGGGAGCTGTGCCAAGGAAATCATGGCTGCATAACTGAGACCCAAACAGCCAGAAGGAGTCAGCTCCACTGGCCAAGGCCAGGAGGAAGTCTCATTTCCCCCTGTTTGTACGTGTGGGCTATGACCTGCAGGTCTTTTCTCAGCAGAGCTAGTAGGAGAAAAAGCAATTTCAGTTGGCCCCAGTGTCTGTGGGGCTTGTAGTGAAGTACACCTGCCCTGCCGGCTTGCACAGCTGAAAGGGCCTTATTGTAGGACAATGTTATATGTAGACATGTCTTGTTAAAAAATATGGACACTCAGAAGCCTACCCAAACTGGGCTTGACGGCACGGGCCTGTGATCATGGTATTCAGGAGGCTGAGGCAGGAGATCACCACAAGGCCAGCCTGGGCTATGTAGGGAACTCAAGGCCAGTCTGAACTATATAGCAAGATCCTATCTGAATCAATCAATCAATCAATCAATCAAATTAAAACCCTATCCAGACAGAGCAGGGGCCAGGGCTGGCAGAGGTGGGATCTATGATCTCCTAAAAAGTATTTGAGCCTCAAGGTCCTTGGTAACCTGACAATTATACAAAGCATTTCCCAAACACAAACATAAAGTTTGAGT